TTGAAGAGAAGAAAACATCTTGAGACTCTTCCGCCATGTCCTGACCACCTCATACTTCACCTTCAATGGCCAGTTCTATGAACAAACCGATGGTGTGACGATGGGCTCGCCACTCTCTCCGGTCATCTCTAACCTCTATATGGAGGACTTCGAGGAGAGGGCACTTGACTTGGCCCCACACAAGCCCTGCTGCTGGTTTCACTACGTGGACGACACCTTCGTCATCTGGTCACACGGTCCCGACAAGCTCCAGGACTTCCTGAACCACATAAATATTATCAACCAGTGCATCCAGTTCACAATGGAAACTGAAACTGAAGGCCACCTCCCCTTCCTGGATATAGATATTTACAGGAGACCCGACGGTTCCCTGGGCCATAGAGTGTACCGCAAATCCACCCATACAAACCTGTACCTTAACACTGCGATACGTTCCTTCGAAACATCGGTTACCACCTATATACACGGTGCCAAATCCCAGAAGACTGCTTTCTTCATAGTCACCGCCGTGAAAGCCTCAAATCTTATATGTTTACTGTTGGTTGATGTCCTTCCCTTGGCTATATAAGTGAGCGGAATTCCTAAGCTGACGGAGTTCAGCTGAGGGCAGTAGAGAGAGAATTAGCAACAGCGGAAGCACGCAAGAGAGCGAATTGGAACTAGAAGTGACAGTTACACTGAGTGACAGAGTTCGGCATTCTAGGTAGGAGACAGCCATGGAAAGTCCACCAACTTGTAAAGACTTAGTGTGATTAGAAGGCATTATCCATGTGTAATACTTGGAGTGTGTAAGTTCGTGAGATTGTTATAATCCCTGAGTTTTATTTGTGGTACCAGGAGAGGACCAGTGTGTGTGTGTGTGTGTGTGTGTGTGTGTGTGTAAATTAGTGATAGAGCTGTATTTAATGTAATTTAAAGAGAGTGTGTAGATGAAGTGTTAATAAATCCAATCATCCAAACTAGAATCCATCATTCTCATCATATGTACCACCCTACACATGGCAGTATTGAGCATTATGCTTAAACGAATATAATCCTTGGCACTGATAACCTAAAAGGTTCCATAATATTTTGTCTTTAAATTACATTCTAACTCCAAGGGCACTAAGCTCTTCTTGAGAAGCCTCCATTTGCACAGCTATTCAAGAATTTCCCAATATTTCATGGAACCAGGAGGTTCATTACTGTGTTCACAAGCATCCTCCACTGGTCCCTATCATGAGCCAGATCAATCCAATCCATACCACCCCCATATTATCTCTCTAAGATCCATCTTACCACCCCCATATTATCTCTCTAAGATCCATCTTAATTATTATCCTCTGATCTAAGTTTTATGTCCTTCCTTTTTGGTCCAATGTTATTCCATGTAGGCACACTATTCTCAAACACCCTTTATAATAATCTTCCCCAATCTGAAACCTCGTTTCAGACCTATTATTTTTCATACACGTGGGACCCTCCCACAGTGAAGCAAGTGCTACCTAATCAGCGCTCACCAATGCAGCTCCAATGGCCACTAGTTAGAGCGCTGCCAGGTGGAAAAAGTATAGATGTTGACGTCTGACACATGAACATCGGCAGTGGTCAGGCATACGACCGTTCAAGTGACTAGACTGGCGTCATAGTGAATACTACTAGAAATAGGGCATAATCTGCTGTACTGAGCCTGGAATGACAGAGGCCTTGTATATATAGTACATAGAAGTAGGAATTAAGATTAAGATTAAATTGTAAATATATGTAAATACTAACAATGGCCTTACTAATACAGACTGTGATGGACAAATGAAAGACCCGACCTCTCGTCAGTGAGGGCACCCCAAATGGACAGGACAGTAACTTTCACATAGGAAGAAAACATCTGGTCATGAGACCCAGCTGGGGCTCGATACCAAGACAGACAGACTGACTGACCGTCAATCTCAATGTCACTTTGACTTTGACTTGACGCGAGCATCTGTTACAACCACACTTGCATCAAGAGAACATCGCAACACCTACTCCGCCAGCAATCACCAGCGCTCATCAGACTACCAGCTGCAGCATGAGCCTCGCCGGCCGGCCAGCTCCACCCCCACTAGCGCTGACTAGCTCACTATGCTTGCTACTGCAAGAGCTTCATCCGGCAATGCGCCGGCTCGCAATCACCTGGCTGCTGGAAGAAAGAATGCAGACACTAGCGCTGGCTAGCTTGCAGAGAGGAGAGCTTCGCCTGGTATCCAGCAGAAGCACCCACCTTCCGACAAACAGTCCTTTTCAGGGACAACAATATCACCTCCGTCACTAGCTCAGGCTATCCCGCTATGAAGGAATTTTTCTCTAGTATTCATCAGGCACGCTCTGCTTACCTGCTCGTCTGTAATATTCATTCTAACAGCAATAAACATTTGTTACAATTTTACAAGGTTGTCTCTTCAAGCAGCGACATCCCACACACATATTACAATGCTATACTTCAGAATTTTGTTCACCTCTTAATCAATATGATGAAGAGAGGCAGGGGATTTACTTAACAACTCAAATTTCTCAATTAATATGAGCACAGTCGTGCATTTCTTGCGCTCTTCTGTGAATTTGACAATTTCACAAGTACTGATTTTGGTTAAACATTATTTTCATATTACATATGGCTTTAATTTTTAGTGTGAACAACATTCCTGTCTTTAGTGAGGTTTCAGATGGGTAGCTGTAACAGTATTTCAGACTTCCTGGACTGTCATAGCAGAAGCATACTAGATTCATATTCAGGTGGCACTTGGTTTAAATCTCAGTTATGATACCAGATATCCTGACTGTTTCTGTGGTTTTCCTCAGTCCCTCCAGCAAAATGCCGAGGTAGTACCTTGTTCATGTCATGACCGCTTCCTTCAAAATCCCATCCCAATTTATCATTCATCAATTATTCTATCATTTGACACTATGCAGTCTTGATATGGGCAGCACTGTACCAAATATCAAAACATTTTATTTATGAAATTGGACTAAATCATATAATACCCACTCCTCATTTAAAAATATATTTCTCTAACAATATGTAAGTGTTGTAAGCTACTGATATGCCTCAGTGCGAGGAAGAATGTGATTTCAAGAAGTCAACAGAATATTTCAACAAACACAATATGAAAGAACAGATTGGTGACACCCTGGCTTATATTAATTTTAGAAGAACATCTGCACCAGACTTTACGTGTGCAGACTGTCCACTGAATTTTATACTATTTGTACAAAGGAAAGATGAATTTATTTTTTCATTTAATTTTGTAATTCACTGTGCCCTAATATTTATTTTGTGGAAACAAATTGGCACCTCTTGATACAGATTTTAACTGCATTAAAGTCTGGGATACTTATTAGAAAATTGGCAAATTAGTACTGTATGAGAAT